ATCATCAAGTTTTCACAGGAGACAGAACACATTGAATTTGATTACCGATTTACTATGTTCACGATAAGTTAAATGATTTCAAGCAAACGGTTTTGTATTTTCGAAGATAAATTCAAATTTTCTTGTGCAATTTTGACGTTTTTTTGCAAGAATCCAAGTGGCTGAAGCAAAACCAAAGGACAAATTAAACAGGATTTACTTAGCGAAATTTTGAAATGACATCATCAAATTGTTGACTGACTAGTGGATGATACCTAAAATAATGAATTTCAGTCGGGTTGAGTAAAAATCTGTGAAAATTTTATTAAGCACTGCTGTTTCAATTGTCTCAAAAATTCTTAAAAATTATTTTACAACTACCAAAGCCTCATAACAATTTTTTTTATTTTAATGTTAAATTTTGTTTTACGTTAATGAATGATAATTATGTTACATAAGATATTTTGCATAAATCTGCTTGATAGTACAGAAGTAAATATTTACTGTCTGTCTTATGTTATTATAGCGAATATTTCACCATGACTTATTTAGTCCGCGACTATTATTTATAAAGATAAACCACTGAAAACAATATATTAAAACCTTGAAAAATAAAAATTATCCCCTCCAAAAAGCCGATGACGTCATCTAAAAATTTATTGCTGCAAATCAGAGACAAAGAGAAAATGAATGAGCCACTTCCGGACAACAACAACTCAGATGACTGAAGTGCACGTAATTCAAAGTAATTAACTCATGCCCACCACTCCTGAATAATTAATTTAGAGATCATTTATAAACCAACTACAAAAGGTTCAAAAAATTACGACCCCGATCAAAGTTCACTTCTTTTCCTAGTTGTAAACAAAGCCGCCACACACGTGTCGAACAAAAAAACCAGAGGACATTCAAACAAACGGAAATCCATGCCTGAATACAAACAAAATTTTACTACTCAGAGTAGTTTAAATTGGAATAATAAATAATCTAATGAAGCAAATATCACGTAAAAATATACACACATCTCGACGGAATGCGCCGTGGGCTCGACCGACTTGCATTTAATAATCGGCATCTTGTTGAAATTGAGTGGGTTAAGAACACCTGGCATTGATTTTCAACTGCTTCAGCAGCCGATGCATATTTTCGTTTGCGTAAATGTAAATGGTGTTGTTGAAGGACTCGGAATGGATCCTCGAGATAACGAGAACTGATTTGGCTTTTAGTAAAAATGAAAATAAACATTAATTAAATCATGGTTGGCGTTTTACTGCTCGGGAGAAAATATTAATCAGGTGATTGATGTACACTACTCTGATCTACTTGAGCTAACCTACTCTGATTGACAAGACCGGTTGCGAACCTTTCGAACAATACGAGATGCTCTTAAGATATAAATGTCCAAATGTGTCTTCAAAATTAATTTTAATCTTTCCAGATACTGTTCTTTGAGCTTTTCGTTTTCGTTTTTAGTTTGGTTATTTGGTCCTGCCAAAATTTCACCGAACATTTGAGAAAAGAGCAGAGTTTAGGATCGATTTTCTATTATTACGCTTTATTTAATTAAATCAAGATTGGCGTTTTGCCATTTACACGAAAATATGAACATATAGACAAATAACAGACAGACAACAAGCCGGCGATGCCACACACAGGGAAACCTTGAAAAAATATGTTAAAAATAAGACCAAATGATTATACGCCGTGTACAAAAGCAACAAGCGGAAACGGAGGAGCCACTTTTTCCTATTCTAGGAGCTACAAAACATCGAGATAACACGACACGAACCACTCTAGCTCCATCCTCAATTACGCACAACGCAACCAACGTTCCACGTGTAATAGCGCAACTCGTCAATGTCAATCGAAAATGCCGACTTTATATTGATAACGGGACGAAAACACGGCTATTATTAGAATTTCCGTGATAACGATTCTTCAGCATTGCAACAGCGCTCCAGCCGGTCCGAAAAATCGTATCCCCTGCCACTAAATTAAAATTCGAAAGGCCACACCTGATGTCACCCACCTTGACGTAAATCTAAAATCGGTGCCTCGACATAATTAGAACCACTAAAATCACAAATTACTCAATTCGTGTCGCAAATAGAGCCGTCACCCTGTAACCTCTAATATCTCTCGTTTCGTCCAAACAACTGTTGCAACCAGCATTCCAGAAAAGCGCGAATTGCTCTTCGGCTTTGCCAAAGCCACCATCATATTTTTAAAAATAGCCGCTATTTTCGGATAAACAGCGACTTGTGCGTTATACCTGTGTGCGATTTCTCTCTTGTCGATCCAGCGATTTTCCAGCATAGGCATGCCTCCGGTGAAACTTTCTAGATCGTTTTCGGACTTGTCGCACCTACGCAGATCTGGGAAGGTTGCAAGGAGTTGGGGGTTGGTGGTGGCGGAGTTCGCACGGGCCCGCATGGCGGCGTCTGGAGGCGGCACGAGCGGGTGGACGTCGGAGAGTCGGCGCGAGATTTGCGGCATGGTTATGAACGCGACGAATGTGAAAGAACAACTGAGGACAAGCGCCGATGGGGGTCATAGATAAATGCAGATAAAGCATTAAATTGCGTTTGTGCCACCAGCGGAGCCTTTGTTTCGCCGAGCTGGGAGATAACAGGATCTTAGGATGCTTGACGAGTGACAGATGGGGGGCGGGGCCAGGACGGGCACGCCCACGTGCTGTCAACCTTTATATGTTTCGAAGGCACACGCTGTATATATTTCCATAGCCAGAATTTTTATTATTTTGCGGCTATTGAATTCGTTTCCATTGTTTCCTATATTTGAAACAAGTGGAAACTTAATAACTGGAAATTGTATAAACATGGAAAGAAACACGTAAGGTTTGTCGACAAAAATAGAAAGTTTACTATTTTTAGATACCAGACCATATTCGTTGCCCATTGTTTTGTGGCGAAGCAAATTATACAGGATACAGGATGGGTATAAATGAGTGCGACGTCCAACAGGATCTTGAGTTTGCCGCCTCGTTGAAATGATAACTATAGTCAAACTGTTAATCTCAGATCAAATACTACTTAAATGTGGTCATTCAAACTTTTGTAGAACAGCTTGTGTCTAGTTCTTAATAAAATTTGGTAATTTTTTAGTTTTAAAAATTTTAAGTCGTTTTGGTTTTTTATGTTCTTTATTTTTAATTCTTCGATTTTTCAATGGTTCCATTTAATAATTTTTAATATTTTATATTTTCATTTTTTTGTTTCTTCAATTATTAAATTTTGCACTTTATTCATTTTATACTTTTTTGTTTTTTAATCTGCAATTCTTTTTATTTCTTCACTTACAAACTCTTCGAATTTTCATTTTTGAATTTTTCAGTTTTTAGATTTTGTAATTTTTCGATTTGCGATTTCACGAGTTGTCAATTTTAGTTTGTCGATTCTTCAAGCTTTCGATTTGCGATTTTTCAATTTTTAATTTTTTTTTTTTTAATTTTTAAATTTTGCAATTTTTTAATTTTTCAAATTTCTGATCCTTTCATTTTTCATTTCTTCAAATTTTCGCAATTTTCCATGTCGGTTTTTTATTTTCTTTATTTTTAGAAATTTTTGAATTTTTAATGTTCCGATTTTATACTTTTTTATTTTTTCAATTTTTCGCTTCTTCAATTTTTCAATTTGCAATTCTTTTTGTTTCTTCACTTTTACGATATTCAACTCTTCGAATTTTCATTTTTGAATTTTTCAGTTTGTCGATTTTCCAACTTTTGGATATTTCAACTTTTAGATTTTGCTATTTCACGAGTTTTCTACAAATTGGAAAGCAAGAATTTGAAAAATTGAAAAAAAGAAAAATCAAAAATCGAGAAATTAAAAATTGAGAAACTTTAAAATTGAGAAAGTGCAAAATTGCAAAATCGAAATAATGAAAATTATAGAAATCAGAAAGTCGGATAACTGGAAATCCAAAAATTGCAAAATTGATTGAACGAAAAATTATAAAATCGAAAAAACATTGAAAAAATGAAAAATTGTGATACAAAATCAAAAATTAAAATCAAGAACTTCAAAAATTGATGAAACGAAAAATTGAAAAATCGAAAAACTACAAGCGAGAACCTTTAAAAAAAATTATAACATTTGAATTTGCGAATTTTAATATAATAATCCTTCTTATACGTTAAAATATCTTGCCTATTTCGGAGAGATTAGGCAAAATTTTGAGATGGCGTCATCAATTTTTTAGGAGAGGTATACGAATAAATTTTGATTAACGATTTACCACGATTACGAGCATTCGGTTTTGCAGTTTCAAAGTTAAATTACAAAATGTTATGTAAAATTTTGATTTCTTTTCCAAAAATTTGGATATCCCGAGTGAAAACTTATTTGATAAAATTAAAAAAATATACTGTAAATTTTGGAGATGACGTCATACCATTAGTAGTAGGGATGGTTACATCTGTGATTGGCTGTTTATTGTTAACAACCTTTAAATTTTAACACATTTTGATACAGTTGATTTTTAAAATTGATACATTCGACAGAGGGATAGACAGATAGATAGACAGACGGAAACGGGAGCCCGTACCTTACGTTCAGGTAAAAAACATCTAATTTTAAATTTTATTAAAACTACAATATGTATATAATTATGTTTAAAAATGCACCGTCATTAAATCTATTTTCCACACATTTTACTCTTTTTATTTACGACGTGAATGAATCACCACGAGTTCAAAAAGAGCAATCGTCGCGTACAGTGACCCTAGTTTAAATATATCATCAGCAAATATTTTAATTTGCTCGGATTGGGTAAACATCTGTGACTTTATGTTCCAGTGGGTGGAGCGTCACCAGACACACCCATCGCATCGACACCTTTCACAAAATTTAGGGACATACTGTATGTTAAACGAATTCCCGACAATGAAGGTGAATGAGCATGATCACGTTTTACTGGTTGCATAACGGCACACCTGGTAAAATATTCCCATACTTGGTCGTGTTTTTCCATTTCATAATAAGTATTAAAAGATCACTTACCTGTGACTAGCATGTCGGTAGAACTTCTTAGAAGAATGCTGAGTATTAAACGTGCTGATTTCGCTTGCCATCTTCGAATGAGTAAATCTTTGACTTGTTTCTTGGAGGTTATGATTCTCTAGCACACGTAGATCTCTCGCTATTGGTTTATTGCGATGTACTGGCTTCGGAAGATGCGTAATTGCAAAAAGTCACGATATTTTAGTCAAACTGATCAGAAATAGCCTAGTGAGGATTGAAGCATGTAAGCAAAGTTTCAAGGAGAACTGACAGAGTCACATTACTGGGAACGTTGGACGCTGTGCAACTTATTATTACGTGTAAGATTATTAACAATTAAATTGTTATCGTTGAGGAAATGTGGTTTTACGAGCATTACAGCTGATTTTATATACTACAAAAAAACATTAAATGGTTAATAGGGCTTTCATTTTTGTTATGTTGGTGCGACTACTGACACATATTCAACCACATTCAACGTTTTCAGCACACACTTTTACAAAATCGATTCTTCTGGCTCTGCTTACTGCACCACCAAAACTACCACACACCGCCCGCATTCTTACTTTCACTCAAACCCCCAAAAAATCACTGATAAATAACAAATTTTACATATTCGAAGTTGGCAACCCTACACTCACAACACAAGTTGAGATTTGACATTTGTGCGAGTATACATTTCAAACACTTTCCTATTATTATTTCCAGGATTTCACACGTTTTCTAATAATTTACAAAAACATGCCTTCCGAGGAACAAAAGCCCGTTGTTGACACCCCAGTGAAATCTTCCATGGAAATCCTATCCGAGCTCTTCAACAGTTTCGACGCTGAACCTCCTTTGATAATCAAAAAGGAAAAATCCGACTCGCCCAAAAAAAGCAAAAAGAGCAAGAAGAAGCATAAACACAAAGAGAAAAAACACAAGAAGAAAGAAAAGAAGAAAAAACGGGAGAACAGCGTTTCGAGCGAAAGATCTGAGATTGATTTGGCTGAAATATTGATCAAACAGGAGAAAGAATCGTCCGAGAAGAAAATCAAAATTGAGGGGACGGATATTAGTTTTAATCTTGCTAGTATAAAGAAGGAGGGAGAGGAAAAGAGTGACAAGGAGAAAAGTGAGAAGAAAGATAGGACGAAAGATGGTTTGGAGAAGAATCTTGAAGAGGGAGAGGTGGACTCAGGAGATGACAAAAAGCATAAAAAGCGGAAGCATAAAGCTGATCACGATAAGAATAAAAAGAAGAAGAAGGAGGAGCGGTCGAAACAGAGTGAGGAGAGGGAGCTCCAGTTGAAAATTAATGACTTGAGGAATAAAATTAAGGGGAATCAGAGAAGTAGGAGCGTGGAGCGGCGAAGTCGGAGTAGGGAGAAGAGGAGTAGGAGTAGGGACAAACGTAGTAGAAGCAGAGATGAAGATTTTTATCGGAAGAGTGACAAGAGTAGGGAACCTAGAGCAAGAGATAGGGATAAGTACAAAGATTATGACCATAAAAGTAAAAGAAAAGACAACTCTTTTTACAAAGATGAAGATATATGGAGACACAGGAGTCACCACGAGAGGGAGAGGCGCCACCGAGACCGCTCCTCATCAAGGGATTCTTCACACATAGATAAGAAAAAACTCTTAGAAATAGCTAGAAAGAACGCCATTCAGATGATGAAATCTGGCAGCTTACCGGGGGCATTAACTTTAGGTCCTCAGGCTCAAGAAAAAGTCATTGCTGCTATTAGAGCAGGAGGAAAGACGATAGAAGAACTAACAGATTTTTGTAAAACCTTGTCAAAGAAGGAGGAATTAGGGGAACTCTCTAGTAACACAGAAAATGGAAGTGATAGTGATACTGATAAACCCTTCCATCACCCTTTCCAGATCAAAGATCGGCCTACTTCTATAACAATGAATATTAAAGTAAGTTTCTGGTTTATGTTATAAGAATTTATTTATTTATTTATTTTTTTATATAGAATTCCGTACCTTTGCCTATTAAATCAACGCAAGAAAGAACTAGCGAGTTACGCCTTCAGTTTCCAGTTAGTAGTGGTCAATTACATCGAAAGTCTGAAAATGAGTGGGTGCCCGTTTCACCCAAAAAACCCCCAGAACCAGTTCCACCACCCAAAGTTGCTGAAACACCAGCTGCACCAGAACCTGTGCCTCCTGTGGTTCCTGTGGCTCCTAGTGCACCTCCAGGACCACAAATCTTTCCACAACCTATAGAAGTAAATATTTTGAGGTTAGAATCGGTTGTTTGTAATATAAGGGTTGCAGGCGTCAGTGGATATAGGTTCAATTGTTTCTCAAAGACTGACTGCCATAAGGAAGCTCCAAGAAAATCCCAATGACGTGCAGGCGCTAACCCAGATGTACAAATCCAACCAAGAGGTAATTTGTATCTTCCAAAAAATCGATGACGTCATCGACCTTCAAGCTAAACACACTGGCGTTTTTCAGATGCAATCCTGGGCTCAGAGTAAGCAGCAGCCTGGCCAGTTCACAGGCACCACTGGAGCTCAGGTTCTTTCTCAAGCGGAACTGTCCTCAGGTTACCAAGCCTGGGCGAAAAAGGTACTGATAACCCCCCCTCGTCCCTCTTCCTTCCTCACCCCCGGCCGCCTTGAACAAATTTTCAGGCCCGGACTGGACATCGAAACGCGATGTGTTCCAAGTCCGGTCGGCAGTAGGCACAGACCATTTCTGGCCGCCGCAGAGATGGAATCTGTGGCTGCTCGGCTGGACGCCCCACCATAATCCCCTATGGTCCGGCGCCCAGCATCTGAAATTTCGCGGTGTGGGAAGAATTTTCCGACAACGCGAAATCCGCCACCTGAGAATTTGTTTCAGGCTTCTGTCAGATTACTAAATCAGGGTTCTTCGCGTGGAAACTGGTTGACCTCGGGTACAAACACGTGCGGTAAGTGAACGATGATTTTGTGCGGGATACACACTATGTAGACGATGGTGGTGAGTAGAATTTTGTCAGACGTGAAACGTCACTTGGTGTTGCATATAGCACGAGAGGGCATGGCATAATCGGCGCCAAATTTAGACGGATTTTCTTAGGACCAACTCACCGCTGCTACCCCCGTCTCGGGAGGGATGGGCATGCATCTGCTCCAGAAGATGGGGTGGAAGCCGGGAGAAGGGCTGGGCAAGGAGAAAACGGGAGCGCTGGAGCCGCTGCTGCTGGAGGTTAAGCTGGATAAGAAGGGGCTAGTGGCCAACGAAGAGCAGAAGAAGAAGAAGAAACAAGGACCGACGCAGTGGAGCAATTATGCGATACAGAATAAGCACCCGGTGTCGCTGCTGGGGGAGTACGCGTCGAAGAAGAAGTTGGGGGCGCCGCAGTACACGCTGTGCTTCGAATGCGGGCCAGACCACAAGAAGAACTTCCTCTTTAAGGTTAATTTCTTAAAAATCGAGTTTTGCGGCGAAACTGCTTTAATATTGAAAAATATTAATGTAGTAGGCCATGTTTGTTTTTAAGTTGCTACTACCGATTGTCAAGTTCAATTTGACATGTGACGTTTGAAAACTAGGCATCAAACATTAATGAAAGGACTTGTCTAAAGCAAGTTTGAAGCGTTTCGTCGCAAAACCCCTCCAGAGACACCTTTGATTTAATTGGAGAAATTCCAGGTCGTCCTGAACGGAGTGGAGTACAAACCCAACGTCGCAAGTCCTAACAAAAAGGAAGCTAAAGCCGCAGCTGCCACGGTTTGTTTGCAACATCTAGGACTCCTCCAATAGGTCGTTGCCATGTATATAAGTCACTAGTATTTACAAAATAAATTTATCATCTCAAATTAAATACAATTACATACACTTATATGAACACCAACTAAAACTTAATTTAAAAATGAACATTAGAAAAAAAATAACAATGAAAATGCTAATAAATATATAAAAAGTAAAATCAAAAAAATGTACATTGTAAAAACTTGGTTTTGAACATTATTCTAAAGGAATATCAATTTCCATAAAATCTTGTTTAAGTTTGGCCAGCTGAAAACACTCATTAAAACATAGCCTCACAATATAGACACTAACCTGTGATTTTTTCACCCGGTTGCACTTAATCACATCCATAGTTTTGAGGAAGGGCAGCGAAAGGGCGGCTTCGCGACAACTCCTGATTGTGATATTCAACCCCCTAAGGTCTAGTTCGCGCAGATTCGTACACATGTGCAATATAGGCATCAGGTTATCGTCGTTTATTTCTTTCCAACCATAAATAATAAGTCTAGACAACGAAAACAAGTAAATTCGGACTGCAGCAACACAATTATTACCTTTCCAATTTTGAGCATCCTGCAGCTATTTGTTCAAGGGAATCCTCAGGGTCACACTCAAATCCCGTCCCTGATACTAACGCTAAACTCCGCAATTTCGTCAATCTCCCCAACGTCCTCAGACTCTTAGCTCTCAGTTTTTTTCGTTCGCTAAAATAGATTTCCCTCATGTGTTCGTTACACCTTGAGAGATTCTCACAAATTTCGTTTACATTCACGTTTGTGTTATCCGCTACGAAAATTTTTTAATAGTCGAAAGTCAAACAGGGGGGTACTTACATAGATATAATTTTCGAAGTAATTCGTTATTTTTTATCGCTTCGCTGGCGATTTTTTGGGGGAAGTGACATGAGACATATTTTATACTAGTAAGGGTAGTGATTGAGGTTAGAGATTGGAAGGAACTCTTGCACCGATATAGAGTGAGTTCTGCAACAGTTGAATTAACAACAGATTATTACAGACTTAATGGGTACCTTTAAGATTTACACATTCCGAAAGGAGGAGGAGAATGTCATCGTTTCGACAATTATCTATCCTAATTGATTGCACGTATTCTCCACATTTAGTTAGGGCGCTTAAAAAATTAAGTCAGTTGTAGCTCAGTCACGTGTGGGTCTACTTACATACGGACAAATTTATCAAATTCTGAATGATCCTCAAAATCTGATTGATTATCACAATACTTATACTCTACACACAATTCTTTGGGATGTGATATTTTTGAAACGAATGACTCTAGAAATTCTTTATTCATATTGTACTGAAACGTCACTGTCAGTGTTGTCTTAAGAACAACAACAACAACTCACCTTTAGGGTCACTTCTTGGTACAGTGAACTATCCTTAGATACGTTATTAAAAGTTGAACACAATGTAGCACAAACTCCTATACTTTTCAAGTCCAAATGTTTAAAAATATTTACTAAAATATCATACTAAAACAGAAATTAGTAGCTGACCCAGTAGTTGCACTCAACTCACTGGTAACGACGTTATGTTCTTTTTATTAACCTCTTGGTCTAAAGGACGTTTGGCTTTTTTCCTAGGGGGTCCCTCTGTGTGGTGGTTCGTTTCCATTTCTGGCTCCATACTGCAACAGTCTTCAAAACAAGATTTTCTCTAGGGAAGAAATACGTTTTTTGTTTGTTAGGAAATCAATTCGGTGGAGTTGTTTTTTGGAAGAAACGTTACAAGTAGTGCTAATAAACCCGTTTTGAATGATAACATTAATTTTCTAGTGTTTTATTTGTAAAAATTTCTTCGCAAATTGACACTACACAGGATGAGATAACTTCAATATGGTGGTCGAATGACAGTTCCCGCTGGGTCGAATCCCATTACCTCTAAAATTGTAATCAAAGTAAAAAATGTTATAGAGATTTTTTTTTGTTTGTATACAAATTAATATTATCAGTGAGTTAATTTTTTACAAGAATTTGATTATCTTAGAGTTTGTACTTGTTTTAAAATAGAAGAGTTGAGTGGTTGAATTGCGTGTTAGTTACTTTGTTTTTGTTAGTTTGCTGGGGTTTTTGCCAACATGATGTGACCTGTCAATTGAAACTTGGCGCCTTTTATTAGTAAACAGTGCGTTTTTAAATGTTTGTGAATCTCGTATTTTTGTGTTAACTGATAAGTGAATTTCGTGATTTAGTTCTTCGTACAAAGAAAACAATGTCGATAACTCATCCGGTAGAAGCTCTAAATTTAGGCAAGTTGTGAATCCCGACTCCATTACATAACCTCAATCCACCATTATTTTTAATTTTACACATAAATAAAAATATTTCTCTTTTCCAGATTTTAAGCAACAACGCCTTTTTGTAAATTTCTTCAACAATCTACCAGAGGTAAGTCAACAGGGTTTTATAATTTTTTCATTTGTTTATTGAGTATGATCCATTTTACAATAATAAATTAAATCTACGACGATAAAACAACAAAAAGGACAGTCACCTAACCTATCTTATTCTTAATTTTGGTCCCCAGTCTCGACCAAAACCCGGGCTTCTTTGTGGTAACTTCTTCATCTTCTGCCTCGGGGTCCTTAGAATCATCAACTTGCTGCACCTCACTTGCTACTTGAGGTTCAATGGGTTCAACTGTGCCAACTGTTTCAGTATTGCTAGGTTCAACCACCGGCGTAGCATGTTTCACTTGTTGTGGCTCTTGGGAAATCAAACTTCTGCCGCTTGGTAACTGTCTTGTAGTTCCAACTTGGTGCTGTTGCCCATAAATATCAGCATATACAGGTTGTGGCTGGTATTGCATGGGTCCTATGGGATGCTGTTGTTGTTGTTGTTGTTGTTGACTACCATATGGATGTTGAGGAATTTCTTCTTGTCTTGTTGTACCCACTTGTCCTGGATACCCGTTAACATTGCCATATTGTCGCTGTTGTTGTTGTTTTTGCTGCTGCTGTTGTTGGTACTGATATTGTAATTCGTGCTGTTGTTGTTGTTCTTGTCTCAGTAAATCAATCAAATTTTGAGACTCTCTTTTAGCATCGTCGAAACGTTGATTATCTTGCTGAACCGGAAGGGTTCGGTCTTGTTCGTTTCGTTGTTGACTTAACCCCGGAAGTTCCGTTGGTTCATCGATTTCCTGATTTTGTTGTTGAGTCAAATCCTGATGATTCGGGAAGATTTGATTTGACGATACTTGGGACTCGATTGGTTGATCAATATCACCAATCTGGTCTTGATATTGTTGCGTTAAATCTACATCGTGAGTTTGTTCGATGTAAAACGGACTCGGCGTTTGTGTGTCGTCGAATTGACTCTGTTGATCTTGAGTTTGTTGAGTGAAATCGTGATTTTGTTGCGTCAGATCTTGAGTCTGTTGAGTCAAGTCTTGATTTTGTTGGGTGAGGTCTTGAGTTTGTTGTTGATCTAAGTACTGATTTTGTGAAGTAAGGTCTTGACTTTGTTGGGTAAGATCTTGATATTGTTGCGTGAGATCTTGAGTCTGTTGAGTCAAGTCTTGATTTTGTTGGGTGAGGTCTTGATTTTGTTGAGTAATGTCTTGAGTTTGTTGAGTCAAGTCTTGATTTTGTTGTTGATACAAGTACTGATTTTGTTGAGTAAGATCTTGAGTCTGTTGAGTCAAGTCTTGATTTTGTTGAGTGAGGTCTTGAGTTTGTTGTTGATTCAAGTGCGGGTTTTGTTGAGTAAGATCTTGATATTGTTGCGTGAGATCTTGAGTCTGTTGAGTCAAGTCTTGATTTTGTTGAGTGAGGTGTTGAGTTTGTTGTTGAGTCAAGTCTTGATTTTGTTGAGTGAGGTCTTGGTATTGTTGGGTTAAGTCTTCCGTTTGTTGAGAGAGATCTTGGTTTTGTTGATTCAAATATTGATTTTGTTGTGTTAAGGCCTGACTTGGTTGTCTAAAGTCCTGAGTTTGTTGCGTCAAGTCCTGAGTTTGTTGGTCTGTGAGAACTTGTGTTTGTTGTGTTAATCTCCCATAATTTGTGCCTGGAGCTTGTTGATCTGCAAGTTTGCCATGGTCGGGATATCTTCTATAATTATTCTCCTTATCTCTGCTGTTGCCGATTTGTAGCGGCGCGAACTCTGTGTCTTCGGTTTGTTGCGTTAGATCTTGTGATTGTTGAGTAAAGTCAGAGGTCTGACGTTGACCAGGATCTTGAATCTGTTGACTCAAATCATCAATCTCGGTTTGTTGTCCGAGTAGATTTTGTTGTCCGTTATACGGTTTTTGAACTTGTTGATTGTAAGGACGTCTTTGTCTGTCAAGGTTCTCATAATATTGCACTCTTTCTCTTACTTGGTTACTTGGAGGACTTTGTCTTTGTTGCTGCCATTGATAAGTCGAAGTGTACTGATTAGGCTCATAACGATTTGGTTGTTGCCTTTGTGGTACTTGTTGACTGATAGGAATGACTCGGTAAGATTCATACACTGGTTCTTGTGAGAAACTTGTCTGACTTTGTTGGACTTGTTGCGGTCTTGAGTAATCTCGTATGGGTGATGGTCTCGAATTTACAATTGGTCGATAGTTACCTGGTTGAACCTGCTGAGTTTGCACTTGCTGAGTTAAATCGTCTTGATATTGTGTTTGTTGGGTTAAATCTTGTCTCCAACCTCGATTTTGACTCGATTGAGAAATAGGCGCAGGTCTAGAGTACACCACTGGACGCCAAGCCTCTCGACTCGGTTCTTGTTGAATTTGAATCGGTCGTGGTCTCGGTCTCAAATACGGCTGCTGATATTGATTTTGTTGAGTGAAAGCTTCTTGGGTTTGAGATTGTTGCGTCAAATCGTCATGGCTCTGAACTTGTTGTGTCAAATCATCGTTTTTCTGTACTTGTTGCGTTAAATCATCATCTTGACTCTGTTGCGTCAGATCATCGTGCGTTTGTGCTTGTGTCAAATCGTCGTGACTTTGAACCTGCTGTGTCAAATCGTCGTGACTTTGAACCTGTTGTGTCAAATCGTCGTGACTTTGAACCTGTTGCGTCAGATCATCATGATTTTGAACCTGTTGCGTCAAATCATCATGATCTTGAACCTGTTGCGTCAAATCATCGTGACTTTGAACCTGCTGCGTCAAATCATCATGATCTTGAACCTGTTGCGTCAGATCATCGTGACTTTGAACCTGCTGCGTCAAATCATCATGATCTTGAACCTGTTGCGTCAGATCATCGTGACTTTGAATCTGCTGCGTCAAATCATCATGATCTTGAACCTGTTGCGTCAGATCATCGTGACTTTGAACCTGCTGCGTCAAATCGTCATGACTTTGAACCTGCTGATCATCATGCGTTTGTATCTGTTGTGTCAAATCATCAGCTTGTTGTTGTTGGTACACGGAAGGATCGTCACCCATCATGCAATCTTCGCCCATGGGGTCATTAGTACCTCCGTGGATGCGATACACATTAGGGTCAAAACCTCTCACTGGCCTATAGTTGGCACTGGAACTATGCGAAGAGCTACTACTCCAAGAACTGTAACGACTGAATGACTGCTGCAGACCTTGCTGTAGCTGCCTCATCAAATCATGTTGCAACTGATTTCTCATCTGAGCTAATTGACTTTCATAAGCACCCGATTGGAATTGTTGCGTGTTGACCATTTCCAGTTGGCGAGTGAGATTTCTATTCAATTCTGCAGACAGTTGGTCGAGGGTTGTTTGGTAATGCATTTGTGGGTTAAAGTTAGACCCTGGGTTGTTGTACATATGAGCTTGTCTGTAAGATTGTTGCATTAAGGCCATTTCCAACTGACGTGATAATTGTTCTTGGAGCTGCCTTTGCATTTCAGCGATGTCTCTATTGTAGTGCACGTTGTTGGCAGGGTAGAAAACTTGGTTACCTGGTATGGGTTGGTTGGGTTGAGCTACGTACATGTGAGTTCGGAAGAACTTTTCTCTTTGTCGATTGAAGTCTCGGTTTAATTTGGTGACAAGGTTCGACTCGATTTGTCTACGAAGATTTTCTATGTCTTCCATACTGTATTTCGAAGCGTAGTTGCTATAGCCGTAGGCCCTTTTAATTTGGTCGTCGAAGTGGAACGTAATATTAGCTCTTAATTCTTCTTGAAGGTGTGCTAAAACACCGTCGTAGTTGACACCCGAATTGTAGCTATTCTCCGCGAAGTATCTTCGTTGCGTATCGTCAAGAATCTTATTCAAGATTTCGTTGAGTTCGGTTTGGACTCGTGTAGCGACTGTCGTGATGGAATCAGGAATAGGTGCCACAGGGTGTGGTTGAACAGGCATCGGATGTGGCCGTGGTTGTACCTGTACCGGATGCGGTTGTGGTTGTGGTTGTGGATATTGATGATAAACCTGTGGTCTCTGCTGCAAAGCACCGGGATAATTCCCGTTCACTCCATTGTGGTTAACCCCATTGTGGTGGTACGTATTCCTCTGGGTATGCACCTGCGTATCCACCCTCGTCTGATAATACGTCTGTACTTGCTGCTCTAAGTGCCTCATCAAATTCGCCTCCATCTGCCTCGTCAAATCCGCCAACTCCTGATTATCATAGTTCGCGGTCGGCTGCAACCTCCCGTTGATAATACTATACGAATACGCCCCTCGAATCCCCTGATTCCCGTATTCCGTCTTCAGAGCCTCTTGCAACCTCATGGTCATGTTCCTCCTCAACTCCTCCTCCAAAATCCTCCTATCGGCTTCAACCTGCGACTGACTAATACTCCCTCCATAAGCCGCCGCCCTCTGATAATGGTCATACACCGCCCGCTGCAACTCCCTCTGCATTTCCTCCTGCAAATTCGCCGTGACCTGCCGCAAATCAGAACTAACGGCGTAATTCTGCTGGTGCGGCATGTACCTAAACGCGGCCCCGCCCATTTCGGGCTGGTCGTAACCGGGTTCGCCGGGCTGGAACCGGTTTTGCGCGTGCAATTGGCCGAAGGAGGAGGTGCGATCAGTACCAATACGATAGGCGTGTTGCATTTTCGGGTTCACGTATTCGCTGTGCTGGCTATGGGCGTTGACCCGGGGGCGTAAACGCCCTTCTAAGTCGCCGTCTTTGGAGTAGAAACCTTCGTCGTCATTACGGTGCTGCAATTCGTGGTTTTTGTAGGAGGAGGAGGAAGTCCGATAGTTGTATTCCTGGTGGTAGAAACCGTTGGGGTCGGCCAGGGTTGACACCAACACGGTGCAAAGAAAGAGAAACGGTTTCATTTTCTGGAAAGGTGATTGAACGATTAGTTCATGGTGGGATCAGAGGTGGAGGTTATCGCGGTGAGATTGGATTCGGTTGCTTAAAATCATCAATTTAGTAAAAAAAAATCGAATGTGGGTTTTTGACGAAATATTAGGTTTTATCATTTTTTCGGCCAAAAAGTTAAAAAAAACATGGGTATCTGGAGGTAATAAAGTTTGAGTGAGGTTGTTGGTTGTATTTTAAATACAAGATAAGAAGTGTTAATGTAACGAGAAAAAGGTACTCACCGGTGCAAATTTGCACTCACTCTGGTTATTTAGAGGAACGTATCACTAACAGCGGTCTTTATAACTTCGACAGGTTTCACTGTTTTTGCATAAAATGATACGTAAAGACGTTCTAGATTCATATATAGGCTAATATGTTATCAAGAACGTGACCCCCCCATCTTTATCAGCCTTTTTGAGTGAAATAATTCCTATTTTAAATAATAAGTTGATCGATTAATCTGAAAGCGAATAATTCGTTGTATTACTTTTCTTTTTAGATCTGTTTTTATACAATAGGTCGTCTGACGTGATGTTCAAAGATCATACTAATAAAAATATGTTTGTTTTTTAGGTACAAGGATTCATTTTGTTTTTTTTTTTGTTTTGTTTTCTTTTAACATTGTATACAAAGTGGTGACTTTTGTTTTCAGTTCAAACTTTGGAAATACCACTGAGAAGAAAGTCACCAATAGTCATACTGTGTACAAGTTAGTTTGCACCAATTGCTTTGTGTTGGCGTTGGTGTATTTTTATTTTCGTTTTTCCCCCTCCTTACTCCAGTCTGTGTATTTGTACATGTAAACGAATAAACAAAAATAATTCCCACGTTGTTTTCTTCCAACTCTTTCAGGTAAAAAGCACCACAGTACTTTCCTGACAGTAAACAAACCCATGAATTGATGTCAAGAACGACGTAACTGTGTTAAGTGCATTGATAATACAAATCTGTTTATGATTATTTCAAGAAGACCCGATAATTCCCGGGTTCAACGAGAAAGTCATTATATCTATTGCATTCTCCGAAATTTTTAACAAATATGTCTCTCTTATCGCTCGTATGTGGTAAACACTTTTTTTTTAACTCAAATCTCAATTCAGTTGAAAAGGTCACCACAATCACGAATTCGTTTCAGAAACCTTCGTCTACCTTGCGCTTTTTCAACCACACGGATTACTACACTCTCCACGGTGACGATGCCACGTACGGTTCGAACTTCACCGGAAGCATCATCAAATACATGGGTGAAGACCCGCAGTTGTCGTATGTGGTTTTGCGGAAAACCCAGTTTGAGAAATTCGTGCGAGAACTCTTACTAGTAAAACAGTATAGAGTGGAAGTGTACGTCAAAGCTGCTCCCAATAAGATCTCGGAATGGAATTTAGAATACAAAGGCTCTCCTGGGAATCTCTCCCAGTTTGAAGAAGTCCTCTTCGAAAACGCTGACATCACCTTCAGCAATTACGTCATGGGGGTGAAGATCGTGAAAGGAAAGGTTATTGCAGTAGCGTGCGTGAATTCCACAGAGTTGAAGTTCCAGGTGTGTGAACTGAACGATAATGAGTGTTTTACGGAGTTGGAGGCTCTGATCGCACAGGTTGGTCCCAGGGAGTGTATTATTCCGCAAGGGGAGACCCCAGATCTGGTAGAATTAAAGAAAGTATTAGAGCGCAATAGCGTGTTAGTCGCGAAAGTGAAGCGTTCGGATTTTTCACAAGAGAACGTAATCCAAGACCTGGATCGTCTTCTCTTCTTCCACGAAGGGCAACATCGAAGCTCTTTGAGTTTCCCAGAAACGAAACTAAGTGACGCTTTGGGTTGCTTGAATGCTGTTATTAAGTTTCTCAACCTGACAGGAGACGAACAGAATTTCAACCAGTTTAAAATTAGTAGCGTTGATATTCACCGATATGTTAGACTCGATAACGCGGCTTTATTTTCTCTCAATATTCTGCCAAAACCTGGAACTGTAGCCGTAGAAGACAGCATGCTTTTACCAAACAAATCGAAGTTGTTTTGTTTGAAAGGAATTCTAGACCGTTGCGTTACCAACCAAGGGCGACGATTGTTAGAACAGTGGATCAAACAACCCTTGAAAGACATAAATCTGATCACTGAAAGGCACGATATTGTTGAGTGTTTTGTGAAGGACCCCCAGATCAGGCAACAACTACAAACTGAGGTGTTGACGCGTCTTCCAGATTTGCTTCTTTTGTCGAAAAAAATTTCCAGCAAAAAAGGAAGCCTTCAAGATTGCTACCGCGTTTACCAAATCGTGGGTGCCGTACCAAAATTGATAACAATTTTGAAAGAAATCGGTAATCCTTGTATTAAATCCGCTTTGATTCACCCTATTGAAGAAATCAGAAACGACTTGGAAAGATACCAGAACATGATTGAAGAACTTCTCGACTTGGATTTAGTCGAGCGCGGAGAATTCCTAGTGAAGCGAAGCTTCAGCCCCGACTTGGACGAAATCTTTGAAAATAAACAACGCATTGAAGAAAAAATGCAAAAGTTGCTGCGGAACGCCGCGAGTGATTTAGGTTTCGAAGAAGACAAAACAATCAAGTTGGAGTGTAATGACCAACATGGCTACTTTTTCAGAGTTACGTTGAAGGAAGAGCACGCTTTGAGGTCGAATTCGCGATATAAGATTCTAGATGCTGTTAAAGGTGGCGTGAGGTTCACTAATGATAAACTAATGGACTTAAATTCGGATTACTCTGAGGCGAAAGCAGCCTACGAAGAACAACAAAAGGGGATAATTACGGAAATGTTTGACGTTGCTGCCGGCTATGGTGATAGTTTGAGGAATTTGAACATATATATCGCACAAGTGGATGTTCTTTTGTCTTTTGCTAACGTAGCAGTGTGGGCACGAATTCCATACATAAGACCCAAATTGCATGAAGCTGGTAAAGGTTCGTTTAAGTTGGAGAAAGTGCGACATCCTTGCATCGAACAACAAGAACATGTTTCTTTCATCCCTAATAGTGTAGAGTTTAATCACAACGACAAAACCTTGCATATTATCACCGGTCCGAACATGTGCGGTAAGAGCACGTATATACGAAGTATAGGAGTTTGTGTTCTGATGGCTCAGATTGGATGCTTTGTTCCTTGTAACTATGCGGAAATCCCTCTGGTAGACGCCATTTTGGCGAGAGTAGGAGCCGAAGACTCTCAGTTGAAAGGGTTGTCTACGTTTATGATGGAAATGATCGAAACGGCTACTATTATCAAGAGCGCTACGGAAAATTCTTTGGTGATTATCGACGAGCTGGGAAGAGGTACTTCAACGTACGATGGGTGTGGTCTTGCTTTTGCTATAGCTGAGTAAGTTTGTCTATTGTGAGATTATGTTTTTTGACGTTTGATTTTTCTAGGCACTTGGTCAAAGAAGTGAGATGTTATTCACTGTTCGCTACCCACTTTCATGAAATTACAAGATTGGCGGAGATGCACCCGAGGGCTAGTAACAAACACGTTACTGCCGTTACTACCGAAAACACTATCACGCCTTTGTACCAAGTACGAGATGGGGAGTGCGATAATAGTTACGGTGTCCATTGCGCACGAATGGCCGAATTTCCCGATGATGTTATAAAGGTATTTTCGTCTAAATTTTGACCATAAATGTATAATTTTGCTTATCTTGTAGTCTGCAGTCGAACACCAAAATAAATTAGAACATTCGGCAGGAACACACATCATCAAAGACTACGAACAATCTCTGAAACGTCAGATAATAAAAGACGGCGACAAAGTCATCGAAGACACTCTTGAAAAAGTTAAGTCTTTGAATGTCGAGAAGATGAGCGATGAAGACCTCTTCAAAGAAATAAGTAAACTTAAAACGGAACTTCAAGAATCAGACAACCTTTTTATTAAAGGGTTGCTAACATAATAATTTTTAATAAAGTTAGTACTCTGGACTGCATTTATGTTGTGTTTATCCTCCCTTCTGTGATCACTGTTCGGGAGCTTCAGCTTCAGCCGGTACTTCTGGGGGTGGTTCTGTAGTGGTTTCCTCTTTAGGAAACTCAGTGGCTTCTTGTGCTGGCGGTTCACCTGTCACCTCTTCACCTTCAACAGCTGGCACTTGAGAGGATCGGGGCTCTGCTTGGGACGGCCGTGGCTCTGTTTGAGATGCTCGTGGCTCTGTTTGGGACGCTCGTGGCTCTGCTTGAGACGCTTGTGATTCTGCTTGGGACGGTCGTGGCTCTGCTTTTGACGGTCGTGGCTCGGCTTGGGATGGGCGTGGCCCTGCTTTGGATGGGCGTGGCTCTGCTTGGGACGGTCGTGGCTCTGCTTGGGACGGTCGTGCTTCTGGTTGGGACGGCTCTCCCTCTGACGGTTCCCCGCTGAGTGATGTTTTATCCGCAACTTGACTTGTTGCACGTACTTTGATCATTTCTCGTTCGACTTCTTGCAGTTCCATGTCGAGTTCTTCTTGTGACATTTGAGGTACACTTAGTGCCTTGTAGTGGTGAGGTTCGTGGCTCTCTTCGACAGGCGGAGGGACAAAGTCATCTATATCTGAGTCCTGCTCTTCGAGAATTATGGGCATTACTGCTTCGTCCCCATCTCCTACTATGCTATAATCGTTGTGAAATAAAAAGGGAGTACTGATTGTGGTTACCTGTCGACAAGACCGCGTAATATAGTGCGAATAAAGTCATCATCTGTTCTGGATTTCGTGTCATCTTTCTCTGGTTCGGGTTTCTCTGCGTCCCCAAAGGTTTTCCCCGTTACGTCTTCCTTGTGAACTTCTTCCTCTGTCTCTGCAATCGAGCCAGTGAAGTCACGAGAAATAAGTTCCTCATCGCCGAAGTCGACATGGGGTACCACCGAGGAGTAGTCAATACGAACACCTTTGGACCTACTCAAGCTGAAAAAAAGTTGATAATGAAATAACTACAGACTTTCGTCGATCTCCGGTGTCGGTCGACGCCATGGAGGAGGTGTCTGCACTTCCAGCGTCTTCAGCTGGTTCTTCTTCAACTGGCGTTTCAGTGAGCAGCCGGATAGCCCTCCTGGTGTAGTACCCCTTATACGCAGCTTTGATGAGATTAGCAGCCCTCTTCGTCTCTTCCGGCGACACCCCACTTTTTCTGTACAACTTAATAGCGCTCCGCGCTGCCACCCTCCAGTCGATGATCCCACTAAGCAACTGAGCTTCCCTCTGCTGCCGCTTCTTATACATTTTAAACGCACTTTGAATAACAGCAGCGGCTGCTTGGACCTGTGCTTCAGAAACCTGCGCGTCTTCTATGATCTTCGCCACAATTGCGTCTTCGTCTTCCTTCACTGCAAACACTCAAATTGTGGTTTTTGTGCAACTACCAACTTACGTATTCCTTTTCTCTCGGTCCAAGCTCTGAAAGCCTCCTGTATAATGCCAGCAGTTCTGTCTGCAACCTCTCTAGTCATTCCTGTTCTGTTCAACAGGTCAACGATGGTCTCGGATGCTTCACTCAAATATTGCACAAATCTTGCAGCAACTCGAGCGTTTTCTCGGGTTATGAGAAGAGCGTCTAAGTAGTCGGCAATAAAAGTGTACATGTCTTCGGGTTGACTTCTGATGACCTGAAGAAAAGGTAGAGGCGGAAGGTGAGTGGGGTTATACGAACTTCTCTAGAAATGTCGTTCATGAGCTCGCGAAGACCCTCAGGTACTACGTAAATGTAACGAGCGCAATGGCGTTGCAACAAAATATCCATTTTTATTTTTGGGGAGAAATTTGACAAACTTGACTTTTCGTTTTTTTTTTTTTTTGTTCGGTTATTTACTGTCATGGACAATATAATCTTTACAATCCGAACCCATGATTTTCCGTACATCCAGTAATCCGAACAGAGGCTAGTTGAAGTCGATGCCTCTTTAAACCAACTATTGAAAAAATTTCACTTTTAAAAAAAGTTGTCTAAAAATTGTGAAAAAAATTCAGGAACCTAGACCTCGACATGCTGATTCCAAAAATATAGCGCGTTGATGGTCACGGAATAACATTTTCGAAAGAATCGGTACGAAATGCGGACTTTTGAAATTTTAAAAAAATTTCGATATTTCAACGGGTCATTATGGAAAAACGGTTGCACTTTTCAAAGAAACGAGGCCCGAAGTGAGTTCCAGAGATCGAAATTTACAAGAAAATGTGTTTAGTTAAGTTTCGAAAATGTCAAATTAATCTTTAAAAATATAAAACTCAAATCGTTATCCAATCGGGAACATAAAGGGCGATTTATCATCACAATTAAGCAGGTGAATTCCCAGGGTGCTCTACTTTCGAAATTTGAACACCTTCTAAATAGCGCCCCTGTAATACTACCAACTTAAAATCGTAGATTGCGTATTTAATGTGATTTAATTTTAAATGTGGTTATAACGTAATAGGTAAGATACATTTTTATAGTTACATCATAATTAACATTAGTTTAGTGAAACCCATAAGGGAGACAAATATAGACATTTAATTCGGTTTTAATTTGGTTACTTGTGGTTATTAGTGTGGCAACAATTTGCCCCCTCCTTCAAGTAAATCGCGAGCCACCATAAGCCATAAACGTGAAAATCAACAAAAAAATATTAAGATGTGGTCGTAGGCCAAATATTACAAAGAGTGACTTATTTATTACTAGTAATTGTAGTAAGTATCCTACTTTTAACACAATGATTAACTGCATTAAAAACAAAAACGCTACCATAACCTCACTCTTTCCAGGTGTGGAGAATGGCCCCTTGATCCGTAAAGCGGAACGTCTGTGATAACGCAAAGCTTCAATAAAGTACAAATGGGCGATCCGTACCCCTACAATTACTCCAACTACCAGCAGTATTCTTTCCCCTCCAATTACAACCCGAACTACGCTTCGTATGACTCAAACTACGCCTCGTACAACTACAACTCCCACTACCCCCCCTACGACCCCAATTATGCCAGTTACAACTACAACTACTCTTCAGCTGAGCAGTGGAGTCAGTGGAACGGCTCGTACCCCATGATGCCCCCATACCCACCCCCAGCCGACTTCAGCGTCCCTCCGCCCCCAATCAGCTACCCTTCACATTCGCAAAACCCACAATACAATAAAACTAGTCCCAAAGCCAACGACTACCAGAAAGAACTAGAAAATTACAAACAAACCAAAGTCAACAATGAGAAACCCACACGGAAATCGCGCTCGAGTTCGCCCCGGAAACGGTCAAGGTCGAAGTCGCGCTCGCAAAGTCCGTATCCGTACAAGAGACACAGCAGGAGCAAAAGCAAGTCGAGTAGATTTTCACCGCGGAGCGATAGATTGAAAAAACCGACGAAAGAACGCCAGATGATTTTGTCCAAGTGGCGGAAAAATTACTGCGCGTCGAGGGAGGAGGTGAATAACCGGATTCAGGAGTTGGCGAAGATGGATCAAGAGGAGGCGCTCGAAAAGGAAAAGAGTATTTGGACACGGTCAACTCCTTCTGATTTATACTACATTAAAGACGACACCAATTCAAAGGTGACAAGAGGCACGCCAAAGCTGCACCAAGTGTGTAGAAAATTTGAGGACATGTTGGTACAGAGGGCACATAAAGTGAATAATTCGAAGCCGAGGTATGTGCCTCCACCACGAAAAAATAGGGCAAGGTTGTGTAAGCACAAATGTGCGTTTTTAGTGTAAGCATTGTCGCAAATTTTATTGACGGTTTTCTTACAGCTGAAGAATCAACTTCCGGCAGTTCTGATGAACAGCTGACTGATGAAGAGGATTGCACCATGGAGGAATTGCAAAGAAAGCAGCAACATCCAGATAGGCTTCATCCAGAAATGTGGTATAATGATCCAGGGGAAATGAATGATGGCCCGTTGTGTAGATGTTCAGTTAAGTCTAGGAAATCGGGGATTAGGCACGGGATTTACCCTGGAGAAAAGCAGCTTCTAAAATGTCTGCCGGATAGCAATAATGCCGATAAGTTATACCATTATAGGATAACCATTTCTCCTCCGACGAACTTTTTGATTAAAGCCCCCACGATTATACACTACGACGAACACGAATTTATTTTTGAGGGTTTTTCAATGTTTTCGCATTTTCCCTTAGTTCAATTACCTCCATGCAAGGTCATTAGATTTAATATCGAATATACCATTCTTTATATTGAAGAGAAAATTCCAGATAACTTTACAGTTAAGGAATTAGACTTATTTTGTAAGTGTGACGATTTGTGGAGTACTTTTGTCTAACTTATTTTTTTCAGACGAGTACTTATTTAAAGAGGTTTTGGAGTTAGTAGATTTAGATTTTAAGGCCGCTGGTGACTCTGAGGGGTGCTCTCAGTTCCACTTTATGCCTCGCTTTGCGCGCGGACTGCCTGATAACGGAAAAGAAATTCTTGCGATGAAAGAAGTACTGCAGTACCTTCTGGAAAGTTCGTTTCCGTTGATTGAGAAGGAGTACTTAGGGGACATGATTAAGATGAGTCAGTATGACTGGCAAAGTTACGCGGACGAGATTAAGGTATTTTTGCGCCAATTTTGTGATTAATTTACGAGTTTTTATTTTGTGTAGGGGATGGTGGTCACCTATCCGGGCAAAAAACCGTGTTCAGTTCGAGTGGATCAACTCGACCGTAATATCGATCTTCAGAAGGCCGGTTATTACAAGTTTCCCGAAATAGTACATTTTGGAATACGGCCACCGCAACTTAGTTACGCAGGAAACCCTGAGTAAGTACAGACTTTGGTGGAGTAGAATTTTATTTTTTTGTAGTTGCTTGTTTGAGCTGAAAATCTTCCACGACAGAATTTTCGGTAAGCACGCTTGAAGATAATAAAGTTCTTTTTTATGTAATTTACATTTGTGTTTCGTTTTGCATATGTATTTTTATTTTAAAAACTAAGAATAATTTCTTGTCAGAAAAATTTTGTATTGATTTTGTAGACGCTTTCTTGTAATTGGTATTTTTGCCCTTCTGCTGGATTATAAAGCTGGCGTTTAAGGTTATGCAATTTTAAAAAATATGGGTGACGTTTTGTAATGTGCGCGTGCTCAATATCGCTGAAATAAGAATGCTTATACGTTTCGCATTTTATGTCATTGCAACATTCACAATGTATTTATGTGGTTTGTAAATCTTTTAAAATACCGGGTGACTAATATTGATTTGAGCAAATTTTTGCGTTTTTAATTCTGAATTATTGGCAGCGATGTCAACATGTCAGCTCACAGTTGTGAATTTTGACAACTGTGAGTTGAAAATTTGGCAGTTTCTACTTCTCGAGCGTAAGCTAAGGAAGTACTGTAATCGAGTCCATCGGGCAACTGACTACTTTTATATTTTATATTTTCTCAACGTTTCATGACCCCTAGAAAACTTTCGATTTTTCAATTTCCCGATTGATCGACTTTTTAGATTTGTGCCTTTTCGCTTTCTCAACTTCTAGATTTCTCGGGTTTTTGATTTTTCCAGTTTTAAAATTTTCAATTTTTCGACTTGGACTTTTCGATTTCGATTTCAATTTTTCGACTTATCGATATCTCATTGTTTCGATTTTTCAATTTACTGATGTTTCACTTTTGGGATTTTTCAATTTTTCGAATTTTCGACTTTTCAATTTTTCGACTTTTGTATTTTTTGATGTTTTGATTTTTCAATAGTTCGATTCTTCAATTATTCGATATTTATTAGAGATGTACCGACTGTAGGTCTGGCCGACTAACCAACTAGCTGATTGTTGGGCCAGTAAAAACCGACTAGTCGGCCGACTGTTCGGCTTTGCTAAAACCGGTTTATAAATGCGACAGTGTGTTTTTTTTTTATTATTTCTCTGACTACCTTAAAAATTTGTTTTATTTTAATAAAAGGAATAACTAAACTTCCTTTGTTTTCAAAAAAATGTGTTAAATTTGTTTGGATAATTTTAACATTTAATTTTTTTTTTGTAACTCAGTACAAAAATAAAGAATAACACAATTTAGGGCCAGTTTATACAATATTTTAACTGAGATTAAGTTGATCGCGCATTTAACAAGGCCATTAGCGACGTCTGATTGACGTAGAGTCGGTCACATGGTACTTCAACGCGGGGTTAAAAATTAAATCGCAATTAAATATTTACTTGAGGTTGTGTAAACCGGGTTTAATTGTTTTATATACTATTTTAATTTTAATAAAATAAGCCGACCGGTCGGCTGTTTAGCCGACCAGTCGCCGACTGCAGCCGACGATGAAAAACGGCCGAATAGTCGGCTTATCCGACCGGTCGGCCACTAGTCGGTGCATCCCTAATATTTATTTTAATTTTTCAATTTTTAAAATTTTATATTTTTCGATTTCTCGATTTTTTAGTTATTCGATATTTCTATTTTTCAATCATTTTTAATTTTAGATTTTTTTAGTTTTTTGATGTTTCGGTTTCTCGATCTTTCGATTTTTCGACTTGTTTTTTAATTTTTAATTTTTTTTTTTTTTTAGTTTTAATTCAATTTTTAACTTCACGATTTTTTAATTTTGGGCTATTTCGGGTCCAATAAACGTATTTATCGTTCTGTTTTGATTGTAATTGTGAATGTTGGACCCTGGAATGGGAGAATGGGACATAGAAATGAAATGACATAAAATGTATATTTGGTTGCATAATTTAATTTTGAAGATTTCGATCATCGAAAAAATATTGTAACTGACACGTTCTTTAAACAAGTATAAAACTTATTGTACACAAAACCTTTCTCGCTCTCTCTTACTCTTCTCGTTCCGATTTCTTCTTACACTCTTTCCAATACCTACACATCATCACATCATTCTCTTGTCAGTTACCAAAAGGCCTGGCGCGACTACGTGAAATTCCGCCACCTCTTGGCCAACATGTCGAAACCCACGTTCGAGGACAAGCGCAAACTCGAAGCCAAAGAGAACAAGCTCCAGGAGATGCGCACCCAGGGCAAAATGAAGCGCGACATCACCGTAGCGGTGTCCGCCGAGGGCTTCTACCGCACCGGTATCATGTGCGACGTCATCCAGCACGCCATGCTTGTCCCCGTCCTCGTCTGCCACCTGCGCTTCCACCACTCGCTCAACGTCCTCGAGGAGTCCATCAACTATAAGTTCAAGAACCGCGCGCTGCTGCAGCTAGCGCTCACCCACCCCTCGTACAGGGAAAATTTTGGAACCAATCCGGACCACGCCAGGAACTCGCTCACGAACTGCGGGATCAGGCAGCCGGAGTACGGGGACAGGCGCATACACTACATGAACACTCGGAAGCGAGGTCAGTGACGGTCATATTCGCGCAGTCGCGGGTAAACGTTGTTCCGCAGGCATCAACACGCTGATCAACATCATGTCGCGGTTCGGTAAGCAGCAGGAGACGGAGTCGAACATCACTCACAACGAGCGCTTGGAGTTCCTTGGGGACGCGGTAGTGGAGTTCCTTTCGTCGATTCATTTGTTTTACACGTTCCCGGATTTGGAGGAGGGCGGTTTGGCCACGTACCGGGCGGCGATCGTGCAGAACCAGCACCTGGCGGTGCTGGCGAAGACGCTGAAGTTGGACCAGTTCATGCTGTACGCGCACGGATCCGACCTCTGCCACGATTTAGAGTTGAGACACGCCATGGCCAACTGTTTCGAGGCGCTGATGGGGGCGCTGTTCCTCGACGGCGGAATCAGTGTAAGCACCCTTTTTGTGAAAACGGTTAATGGACCGAGGTAAGTAAGGAACCGATCGGAGTCAAGGCCCTGTTCTGCCGCCGTGTCGGAATAAACTTTTTTTCTTTTTCGTATTTGCAGCGAGGAATAAAGTTTATTTTAGAACGTCGACGGAAAACGTCGGTTTGGTTTTCCTCGTCCATTACTCTTTTCTTTCTGTCTCTTTGTCTGTGTAAGAGGACAGCGGTAAATTTTTTCACTTTGTGGACTGTGTAGATCGTTGACCGCGTTTTCTCCGAAACTTTGTTCAAAGAAAATGCAAATTTGCTTGAGGTGTGGATGAAGCTGCCGCCGCATCCTCTGCAGGAGCAGGAGCCGACGGGCGACAGGGAGTGGATACCGAAGTTCGAGCTGTTGCAGAATCTTACGAAGTTCGAGGATTCGATAGGGGTGAAGTTTAACCATATAAGGCTTTTAGCTAGGGCGTTTACGGATAGGAGTGTCGGATATACGAATCTGACGCTGGGGTCGAATCAGAGGTTGGAGTTTTTGGGGGATACGGTGTTGCAGCTTATTGCGTCCGAGTATCTGTACAAGTACTTCCCCGAGCATCACGAAGGACATCTATCGGTAAGTGTGGGTGTGGACAAGTGTCAGTAGGCGGGGCAGATCAAGACGGTGTGCAGTAAGGTTCTCCGTTGGCTGTTTCACCTTTCTTAAATAGTTTATGTATGCTTTGATCCAAGCATAATCTTTGGTTTTGTTGATTTCCTGAATTAATTTTGTATGCAAAAAAGTGTGGTTATGTCTGTTTTAGGCTCTTCAGAATCACACAGTGTAAACAATGTGAACTTTGACAGTTATTTGATATTTATTACGTAAATGTTATGTTTCACAACAATAATTACCGAACTGAAAATATTTCCACATTTTTATTAAAAATTGTGTTTGAAACAGATAGGATCTTTTTAGAAATTTGGAATTTACACTACTGGTTTTGCAGAATTTGTTGGGCTGCACTAATAATATTAGACTTGTGAATTGTAGTTTGTGCAATAAATATACACAAATTACAATTTACAAGACTATGAAATTATTAAACTTGTGAGTACTGTGCAACAGGCCCAAGAAGGTTTCAAATTTCCCGCCAAAACGCCATCGCGTTTAAAAAATTCACTAATTGCACAGCCGTCTTGATCGTACCAATTCGCCACTCAGACTTTCCAGTGTACTATTAACCCAGAAGCTAGTTACCAACAACTTCCATTCCAATTACGAAAGTTCCCACTACTCAGTTGGCAACACTTGCTCGAACCCAAACCCTTCTTTCAGCTATTGCGAAGTTCCCTCGTCAACAATCGCACCCAAGCCGTCGTCTGCGACGACCTAGGAATGGCAAACTACGCCGTCTACAACAACCCAAAAGCCGAACTGAAAACCAAAGACCGTGCCGATCTCCTCGAGGCCTTCATCGGCGCCCTCTACGTCGACCAAGGCCTCGAATTCTGCGAGGTCTTCTGCCAGGTCACCCTCTTCCCTCGCCTCCAAGACTTCATAATGAACCAAGACTGGAACGACCCGAAATCCAAGCTCCAGCAATGCTGCTTAACCTTACGAAGCATGGACGGCGGGGAACCCGACATCCCGGTTTACAAGGTGATCGAGTGCAAAGGACCCACCAACACCCGCGTCTACACCGTGGCCGTGTATTTTCGGGGGCGGCGATTGGCCAGTTCCATGGGCCATAGCATCCAGCAGGCCGAGATGAACGCGGCCAAGCGCGCTTTAGAGATATCGCACGGTGAGTAGCTGCGCATGCGCGACTTAACTTGAATCGTCGTGTAGATTTGTTCCCGCAGTTGGACCACCAGAAGCGAGTGATCGCGAAGAGCATGAAGAAGCAGAAGCATAAGAAGCAGTCGGGGAAGGGAAGGTCGCAAGTGTTGACGGAGCCGAAGTCGCCCGAGAGCTACTCGAGGACGAGGTTTAGGCGGTCGGAGTCGAAGAGCAAGTCGAGGTCGAAGTCGAAGTCGTCGAGCGATAGTGTTAGCGAGTTGAGTTGTAAGGGTAGTGAAGGGAGGGGTTCGAAGATCCATATAATTTCGGTGGATAATATTAGTTTGCCAAGTTTTGGGAAAAGTAGCGAGAGTAGTTGTAGTAGCAAAAGTGATATAAGTTATGAGTCTGCGCACTTTGATAGAACCGGATCACCGGGTTCTAGCAAGCGGTATAAGGGGAGTGCTAGGAGAAGTAGCACTTGTGGCTTGTCGTTTCTTGATGGAAATTTACCAAGTTGTAGTAAAAGTAGCGTTTCGAGTACTCGGAAAAGCGACTTAACTTATATCCTGACTGATGATTCAAGTGGTGATAATTGAATTAATAAGGGTTTTATAACTTTTATGTATCAGTTGTTTTTGTTGCTGGAGTAGTTTACTTTTTGTCTCTAAGGTGCTAATTTACAATGTCACATTTACTGTTCTTTATTAGGTTATTATTGTTATTTAGGAATCAATTCATTTCACTGTTACAAAGCGAGTGATAGTTTGAAGCTTATCGTTTCAGTGCAACAATAATAGCAACTATATCATGTAATGAATTAATTACACTTGGATGTTTTTATGTGAACATTATATAATAAATAATGACCGCCTTAGTGTGTTTTCTTTATTTCTACAAATGCAAACGCAGTAATGTACACGTCTGACTCGCCCCATGAGTGTACAGTGGAAAGCGAATGAAGATAGATGTCGCCACAAGACTTCAACTATGTCGGCTTATTAAGCCGGTTCCGACTACGTGTATTTTGACCCTAAGAAAACACGAGTTGCATTTAAAAACTACAACTGAAGGTTTTGGTATGGAATTTAGTGTAGATGGTAAGACGCTAACCATCCCCAGCATTTTTAAGATTGCTTGTACAAGTGACCCACAAAAATTAATGAATGGGACAACATGTTTTATTACCGACTCCATTTTTTTTTAAATTTGCGGATGAAGTGTTGTTAATTAATCATATTACACGTAAGGTCGATTTATAAACTACAAACAACAAATTGCAGTCACATTGCAGTAGTGTGCAGTGCTGTCAACTTGAAAGAAAATCCCCTGGCAGGGGGAGGGGGCGTTTTTCTGTTGACAGCACTAATTCCACGAAAATCAAATTTTTGGGATGAATATGAGTGGGGCTTAATTTTTTACTTGTTACTTCCCGACGTAAGCAAAGGAAGTATTGTAATCGAGTCCGTCGGCCGACTCTCTACTTTTACGTTTTCTCGGCCTTTCATGACCCCTAGAGGACGAAGAAATAGGTCTCCCGTTTCCGTCTGTCCGTCTGTCTGCCGTCCCGGATTTTTATTAGACAGATAATCTCCGAAAGTAGTGGACCGATTGTTGCGAAATTTTGTATTTATATTAGGAATATCATGTATAGATGGTAAAACCAGAGAACATAGTAAAACGCTAACCAAAATTTGTCTAATCATCCCCACCACTAATGCGATGACGTCAGTTCAAAATTGTACATAGTAAATGGGTTTTAAATTGTATAAAATAACATAGTCCTATGTCCTAAAATGCAAAAAATATGAGTTTGTACTTATGATTTATCATTCCACTCATATTTTTTAGATTTGCTTAAGAGGTGGCTCAAAAAAAAATAATGAATAAGTCAATTTATTTTATTGATTAAATTAGGAATAGTTCACTCCATTTTTCCGGGATTGGAGATACAACACTGTTGTTATTAGTATTACATTGCACCAACCATATTTGGTAGGCACAAAATTTTGTAAAGTAAAAACTCGTTTGAAACATAGGCGTAGCACGCTTATCTACATTTACTTTAACATTACAGACGTGCATTTGTTTTGTTGCGCTGACTAGGTTCCGTGAATTTGGTATAGACATGTTATAATCGACCAATTGTGAATTCCACCGTCAAAAATTAAAATAAAACCCAATGTTTTATATAATAAGCGGAAGTCGAAGCAATAAAAATCTCTAGACGACCATCGGTTTTGTTTACAGTTTCTCTGTTTGACTCTCACGTATGCTATGTTACGCTTGTCGTCTTAAATTAAGAATGCTTATACATAAACGAATTTCAGTTGCCTCTCATCGGCACCGTATACGTGAGTAAATTGTTTCGTTATTTTATTGATTATTACAAATCAATATTCAAAACGACCCAATTCATGTTCCCGAAAATTTGGGAATGCAATAATTTTATTCTTAGTATTACACTACATCTATCCCAACTGATATACGTGTCCTTGCAAAAATGTTGATGACGTCATCGCAATTTTTTTTTACATTCCCCACTACAAAAATGTAATGAGAAAAAAAACACAGTAGGCATGCAGTCGTCACGTTTCCGACAGCGAGGGACGTACTGTCTAAACTCTTTAAACCAATTTTTTTTTGAAAGGTGGCGGGAAGACGTTCTTTCATACAAGTGAGCACACTGCGTGTGAGTCGAGAGCGCAAGAAATAATAGACAAAATTTGGGAAGGGCTAGAGTGGAGGAAAAGAAGCGAAGAGCGAAAGTGACTCGGACGTGCCCTTCTGGCGGCCCAGCAAGTCCAAGTCCCATCATTCCTCATCTCCAAAAACCCCCTAGGGCTACATTCAGAGACATATTACATTTCAAACACCTAAAAAAATATGAAAGAAAAGAGACTCGCGAATTGACAGACATACACATAATTATGAAAAACGAACAAACACAAGATCCTATAAATATTTGTTTGGAATCAATGCAAATATTTGGATATCACAAATTTAATAAAAGCGGACCAATTTTGAAAAATTCGAAAAAAAAGGGGGGCACACAAATTTGCATTTTTCTCGCTTATTTGAAGAGATACATCAAAACCGAATACGGAATCGTGATCCTGAGGAAATTCCGCTTGAAATGACACACAGCACGGTCGAAAACGGACTAATTTTGAAAAATAAAAAAAAGGGGGCACACAAATTTGCATTTTTCTCGCTTATTTGAAGAGATACGTCAACACCGAATACGGAATCGTAATCCTGAGGAAATTCCGCGTGAAATGACTCTCAACACGGTCGAAAATGGATAAATTTTGAAAAACTAAAATAAAGGGGGGCACACAAATTTGCATTTATCAAAGAAACGAGGCCGGAAGTGAGTTCTAGAGCCCGAAATCTACAAGAAAATGTAATTAGTTAAATATCGAAAATGTAAAAAATTGGTCGAAAAGTGAAAAAGTGGGGACCATTGCAAAATTTTCACTTTTAAAAAAAGTTATCTCAAAATTGCGAAAAAATTCAGGGACGTAGATCTCGACAAGCTGATTCCAAAAATATAGCTCGTTGATGATCACGAAGCAACATTTTTCGGTAGGAAATGCGAATTTTTGAGAATTTCTAAAAATCTCGAAAGTTCTACTGACGATTCCGGAAAAACGGTTGCAGCTATCAAAAAATCGAGGCCGAAAGTGAGTTCTAGAGCTCGAAATCTACAAGAAAATGTACTCAGTTAGGTTTCAAAAATGTCAAAATTTCGGCGAAATTTGAAGAAGGGGGGAGGGACCATTGGAAAATTTTCACTTTTAAAAAAGTCGTCTAAAAATTCTGAAAAAATTCAGGGACGTAGATCTCAACGTGCTGATTCCAAAAATATAGCCTGTTGATGGTCGCGGAGCGACATTTTCGAAAAAATCGGTACGAAATGCCTAATTCATAGAAATTTCAAAAATTTCGAAATTTCAACCGTCGATTCTGGAAAAACGCTTGCAGCTATCAAAGAATCGAGGCCGGAAGTGAGGTCTAGAGCTCGAAATCTACAAGAAAATGTGCTTAGTTAGGTTTCGAAAATGTCAAAATTTCGGCGAAATTTGAAGAAGGGGGGACCATTGGAAAATTTTCACTTTTAAAAAAGTCGTTTAAAAGTTCTGAAAAAATTCAGGGACGTAGATCTCGACGTGCTGATTCCAAAAAAATAGGCTGTTGATGGTCGCGGAGCGACATTTTCGAAAAAATCGGTACGAAATGCCTAATACAAAAATTTCGAAATTTCAACCGTCGATTCTGGAAAAACGGTTGCAGCTATCAAAGAATCGAGGCCGGAAGTGAGTTCTAGAGCTAGAAATCTACTAGAAAATGTACTCAGTTAGGTTTCGAAAATGTCAAAATTTGGCCGAAATTTGTAAAAGGTGGGACCATTGGAAAATTTTCACTTTTGAAAAAGTCGTCTACAAATTCTAAAAAAATTCAGGGACGTAGATCTCGACGTGCTGATTTCAAAAATATAGCCTGTTGATGGTCGCGGAGCGACATTTTCGAAAAAATCGGTACGAAATGCCTAATTCATAGAAATTTCAAAAATTTCGAAATTTCAACCGTGGATTCTGGAAAAACGCTTGCAGCTATCAAAGAATCGAGGGCGGAAGTGAGTTCTAGAGCTCGAAATATACAAGAAAATGTACTCTGTTAGATTTCGAAAATGTCAAAATTTCGGCGAAATTTGAAGAGGGGGGACCGTTGGAAAATTTTCACTTTTAAAAAAGTCGTCTAAAAATTGTGAAAACATTCAGGGACGTAGATCTCGACGTGCTAATTCCAAAAATATAGCCTGTTGATGGTCGCGGAGCGACATTTTCGAAAAAATCGGTACGAAATGCCTAATTTATCTAATTTTCAAAAATTTCGATATTTCAAAGGTCGATTCTGGAAAAACGGTTGCAGCTATCAAAGAATTGAGGCCGGAAGTGAGTTCTAGAGCTCCAAATCTACAAGAAAATGTACTCAGTTAGGTTACGAAAATGTCAAAATTTCGGCGAAATTTGAAGAAGGGGGGGACCATTGGAAAATTTTCACTTTTAAAAAAATCGTTTAAAAATTCTAAAAAAATTCAGGGACGTAGATCTCGACGTGCTGATTTCAAAAATATAGCCTGTTGATGTCGCGGAGCGACATTTTCGAAAAAATCTGTACGAAATGCCTAATTTATAGAAATTTCAAAAATTTCAAAATTTCAAAGGTCGATTCTGGAAAAACGGTTGCAGCCATCAAAGAATCGAGGCCGGAAGTGAGTACTAGAGTTCGAAATCTACAAACAAATGTGCTCAGTTAGGTTTCGAAAATGTCAAAATTACGGCGAAATTTGAAGAAGGGGGGACCATTGGAAAATTTTCAATTTTAAAAAAGTCGTTTAAAAATTCTGAAAAAATTCAGGGACGTAGATCTCGATGTGGTGATTCCAAAAATACAGCCTGTTGATGGTCGCGGAGCGACATTTTCGAAAAAATCGGTACGAACTGCCTAATTAATCGAATTTTCAAAAATATCGATATTTCAACCGTCGATTCTGGAAAAACGGTTGCAGCTATCAAAGAATCGAGGCCGGAAGTGAGTTCTAGAGTTCGAAATCTACAATAAAATGTACTCAGTTAGGTTTCGAAAATGTCAAAATTTCGGCGAAATTTGAAGAAAGGGGGACCATTGGAAAATTTTCACTTTTGAAAAAGTCGTTTAAAAATTCTGAAAAAATTCAGGGACGCAGACCTCGACGTGCTGATTCCAAAAATATAGGCAGTTCATGGTCGCGGAGCGACATTTTCGAAAAAATCGGTACGAAATGCCTAATTTATCGAATTTTCAAAAATTTCGATATTTCAACCGTCGATT